AGTAATTTGATAAGTACATGAACTAATATACTCTTTTACGGTTTAATATTATTTAAACTGTAAAATAAAATATTTTAATATTTATTAATTAATTAATTTATTAATATTTTTAAATATTATTTAATTAAAAATACTAAAAATGTATTTAATAATATTAATTGTGACAATTTAGTACACACATGTCATGGAATTTTTTTCTTAAAAGCCGTGCCAAAAAATTTGATGTAGGTCACTCAATATTTTAGAATTATGGTAAAAAAAACCCAATGATAATTATAATATGTTATAAATTGATTGTAACCAATTAACTAGTAAGATCTTTCAATCGAATCTTCAAATCCAATGATTCGTTCTTAAACCATAGTGCCTGAGTTTAGTTGGTCGAGACTTCAATTCTCATGATTTGAAAATTTCTCATTCCCTCATTATTCACCATGTTCAGAAAAAATAAAATTAACCAATAAGAACTTTAACTTCAATTCAAAAAAAAAAAAAATTAACTAGTAAGATCTTTGAATCAAATCTTCAAATCCAATCTTGAAATCTAATAATTCGTTCTTAAACCTTAGTGCTTGAGTTAAGTTGGTCGAGAATTCGATTCTCATGACTTGAAAATTCCTCATTCCCTCATTATTCACCATGTTCAAAAAAAAAAAAAAAACCAATAAGAACTTTAACTTTAATTCAAAAAAAAAAAAATTAACTAGTAAGATTACACTTTTTTTTTTCCATAGAAAAGCTAATATATATATAGTAATTGCAACAAACCAGTAACTCCTTTAGTCCAAATCTTCTTCTTCAGATTCACCTTGCAAAAATCCAAGGTGGATCCTTGTCCTCGAGGAGTAGACACTCAAATGCTTAAATAAGCAATAATCTAATTTACCTTAAGAAGGATTGTAAAAGAAGTTTTAGGTCGGTTTCAATTACTTTTTTGAGGTAACCTATGAGAGTATTTATAGGTTTTAATGAGGTGTTCACATGGCTTACTTAACAAGATAATTAAATCCTAACGTGTCTAGTAAAATGACGATCTTGAGAATAGTGGATTGGGTGAGGGCATACTCACAGTAATTATTATACAATTGGGAAGAACTGAATTTCGACTATATCTTGGCTATCAAGTAATTCGAGGTCAGCAAGTAGGTTGGATTTCGCAATATGCACAATACATCCAAGATTATTGATCTCGAACTTATCATTAGCCCATCCTTACCTATATATATATATATATATATATAAGATTAGCAAGTCAATACAATCTTGAGAACTGAGTTCCCTATAATCTTAGAGTATAGAAGCATTCTAGCTTTAATAGTACATTGCTCCAAATAAGAAAAGGACAAGTAAGACTACACCCTATCTTAGCAAGATAATTAGCAACTATGTTTGCTTCACGATAAATATATGCCTAATTTGCACCTTCAGGAGCTGAAGCAACAACATCTTGCAATGATCCAGTAAAGCAACAAATGAGTGATATTTATAGTTATTTGAATTAAGTAAAATCTAGATAACTCTAGAGTTAGTTTCAACAATAATTTTTGTGTAACTCTTATCCACAAACAGTTTCAGTCCATCTTTAATAACCTAAAGTTCAGCTACAAAAGTAGTAGAACAACCAACATTCCGTATAAAACCGAGCAACTAGTTACCCAAATGATCCCTAAAGCCCCTCCAACATCCATTTGGCTAGGACTAGATAAAGGAGAGCCATCAATATTTTAGTTGACATAACTTTCTAGAGGAGGGGGCTAATTAACTAAAATAGTCTCCTTGTTGAGATTTCTCACATGCATATCA